ACCCTGGTTCTACCATCTGTGAGATGTTGGGGAAGTCACTTAAATGTCTCTGGGCCTCAGTTTCCCCATATGTAAGATGGGAGGTTTGGATTACAATGGCCTCTGAGGTGCCTTCTAGCTCTAGAGCTGTGGTTCTATGACTAAAGTCATAGGCTCCCCGGCATCCCATAATTATTCATTTAGTACAACTACTGTATGCATAGCATAGTATTTATTAGGTCCTGGAAGAACAAAGAATTGGTGGGGAAGAAGTCATAATCCTGGTAACTGCTCTGGAAGAACAGATGATCCTGCTGATTATAATGGATGTGGACATGAAGAATACTTATAGTCCAATTGGCAAGCAATGAATGAACAAGTACAATTATGTAGACAAGCATTTAAGGATAGTGGCAAGAATGTTGGGCATGGAGTTGGGGAGACCTGAGTTCAAGTTATACCTCAGGCAAATACAAGCTAGTTGATGTTGGGCAAATAATTTTACCTCTCTGAGGCTCAGTTTTCTCATCTGCAAAATGAAGAGAGTGATACCTGTCACACTGAGGCTCAACTGAAGTAAAATATGTAAAGTCCTTTGTAAACTTTATAGAAAGCTATATATAATACATATATATGCATGTATCATTATACATCACATCTTTGTTATCATTATTGAGTCACTTCAGTAATGCCTAACTCTTCATGACTCCATTTGGGGTTTTCTTGGCAAAGATGCTTGAGCGGTTTGTCATTTTCTTCTCCAGCTCATTTTATAGATGAGGAAACCGAGGCAAACAGAATTAAATGACTTGCCCAGGGTCACACAGCTAGTAAGTGTCTGAGGCCAGATTTGAACTCATGAAGATGACTCTTCCTGATTCTAAGCTCAGTGATCTATCCAGTGTGGATATATATGATAGGAACTAGATCTGTGATTTCATTGGTATAAGGAATTCCCAGGCTGGGGGAGCTCTCTTTACCTATGGAAGTAAGCACCTTCTCTGCCATTTATAGTCTGAGAGAGTTGCTTCGAGTATTGAGAAGATGAGTGTCTTGCCCAGGGTCCCACAGTATGTCATAGGTGGGACTGAACCCAATTCTTGGTCCCAAAGCCCAGTTTCTATCCATTCTCTATCCACCATGCTACAATAATTTTCAAAGGTTTGTGTGTGTGCATATATAATGCGTGTATCTATACATATACCCTTTCATATGTGTGTAAATATATACATATATTTACATATCTATATCTTTATATAGAATATATATTTGTGTGTGTGAGAGAGACAGACAGAGATAGAGGGATGCAGAGAGAGAGAGAGAAAGAAAAGAGAGAGAGAGAGAGAGAGAGAGAGAGAGAGAGAGAGAGAGAGAGAGAGAGAGATTATGAGGGAACTCTATTCCCTCAGGTTGGTGCCTCCTCTGTAATTTATAGTCTTTAAAGTTTACTCCAGGCACTGAGAGTTGAAGTGACTTGTTTAGAATCACACAGTCAGCATTTGGCATAGGTGAGTTTGAACTCAGAACTTCCTGACTCCAAGTTTGACCCTTTATCCACTATACAGGGGTTCGTTCTCTCTCTCTCTCTCTCTCTCTCTCTCTCTCTCTCTCTCTCTCTCTCTCTCTCTTCTTCATCTCACTGTCTCTTTCTCTTCTCTCTCTGTCTTTCACCCTTCTCTCTTTCTTCTCTATTTGTCTTTCTTTCTATACACACAAAGATGTATACATACCTATATATGTGTATGTTTCTGTGTATGTATGTGTTTCTCTGTGTGTATGTATACACATACATACATATACAAACTGGACCTATGATTTCAAGCTCCCTGAGAGGGAATTCCTTCTTCTGATGTGGACTGGGTTCCTCATGTGGAATTTATAGCCTTAGAGAGCTGTCGGGGACACTGAGAGGGGATGTGACTTCCTCAGGGTCACACTGCCAGGACATGTCAGAGGGGCAGCTTGATCCCAGGTCTTCCTGGCTCTAAGGTCAGCTCTCAAATCCACCCATTAGGTTATGCTGCTTCTCCTATTTTCATATGAGAGGCAGTGTGGCACAATGGATAGAGAACTATATGAGAGGCAGCTGGTAAGACTGGCTGTGAAGCCCCACCTCTGGCACCTACCAGCTACATGACCCTGGGCAAGTCACTGCACATCCCCCTGCTCCAGAAATTCATCTAGATTATAGATTGGGAGAGGTGCTGACCTACATGGGTAGAGGGAGTTTCCTTCTCTGGGAGTTCCCTCCACCAATGGAATTACAGTCCAACCCCTATCCCCATATGTATATATGTATATTTACGTACACCTACATGTGTATTTAACTATCTCTTGATGTCTTCATGTGGTATGGAGGTGACCCTGGTTTCTTAAAGGCTCTTGCAGCAGCACATGAGATTTGTCAGGTACTACCAAGCTGTAAAAGCTCATACAGAGGACCCATGACAAACTGTATTTGCCGTCTACCCCAGGAAGACCTGCCTACCCAAGTTCAGTGAGGCTCATGCACAGATTGGGCAAGGGTGATTCATTTTTCCATGAAAAAAACTATTGTGTCATAGAAGAATTTTAATCTGCGCTGGTGAAGAGAGGACCCACAGTTATAGATAGTGCCTAAAGTACTCAAAGTTTAATATGTGTGTTTCTCAAAATTATAAATAATATGCTTAAAGACAAGGAGTAGAGTGGTATCAGTCAGGAAAGGCTGCTTGGAGGAGGTGAATATTAAGATAAGCCTTAAAGGGAAGGATGTAACTGATTTTTATGGGGATAGGACATTTCAGGTGATGGAAAAGAGCAGAACTCTAACTTGGAATTTTGATGCCTGGGACTATTTCTGTAGTGGGGAGAGGAGGAGAAGCAATGGGGGTCAGGGCATGGAGAAGACAGCCCACCTTGGTCAAGTGCAGTTATACCAAGCAATCCTTGGGGGTGGGAGGATAGAGATAGCAGGTAGATGGATGCAAGGATGGGCTGAGGGAGAAGGACCTTTGTGCTAGAAGCCAGACCCTGGGTGAACAGAAGGTGGCATGGGGTTATCCTTGGGGCCCTAGAAGGCATAGGACTTGCAGAAGAAAGCAAGGCAGAAGAAGAGTGAGCCATGGGATCACCATAAGGATGTTGGCACCTTGAGGTTCTACTCACATCACACTAGATATGGCTCCAGATGGAGATGGAGGTGGGGTGGATAGAGAGAAAGGCATACATAAAGAGAGGCATGGAGACAGGAGCAAGGGGACTTTGTCATAGTCGTAACATTTCAGAGCTGGAAAATACTTTAATGTTCAACTAGTCCATCTTACAGATGAAGAAACTGTGGTCCAAAGAGAGGGAAGTGACTTGTACAAGGGGTAATAAAGAAAATATCTTGACTGGAATAGAGAGGCCATGTTGAAATTGCCTCTATTCCAAGGCAATAGCAGCTGAGTTGAGGATTTTGGGGTAATCATGGAGACATCCTCTTCTGTTTTGTTTTTGCGAGGTAATGGAGTTAAGTGACTTGCCCAGGGTCCCACAGCTAGTGTCAAGTGTCTGGTCTGCGACCGGATCTGAACTCAGGTCTTCCTGACTCCATGGCTGGTGCTCTATCCACTGTGCCACCTAGCTGCCCCTAAGACATCCTCTTCTAACAAAGCCCCTTTCACAAAGAAGACCTAAGAAAGGAATTTATTGGATCAATATGATAATCGCTCAGACCAGAGTTATAACTAACAAGTTTTACACCAGGAACAGCACAAACCAGGAAGGAACAAAACCAAAAAAGTTACTCCTCCTCTTCCCCCCAAATTCCCAATGCTATTCCCAATGCCCCCTACCCTTGCACTGGGTAGAGACTTGAGGACATCAGAAGAACATAGACAAGGGAGAGAAGGGAGGAGCAGAAGAAAGGTAGAGCTTGACTAGGAAGAGGCTCATATCTGTAGCTTCCTACTTTAATTCTTTTTGCTAACTAGGTGTTATATTCCTTTATTTCTCTGCCATTGAAGGATGGAAAATACTTTTAGCATTTGGAATCCTATTTAGGGCAGATTTTCAATTACTATCTGTGTGGGTAACTTATTAACCTCTCTGGATCTCAGTTTTCTCACCTGTAAAATGAGGGGATTGGACTGAGGTCTCTCTAAATCTATGATTATATTAGCTACATTTCCCACTTGAGAATGAAAAAGGATGCCACATTATTTCTCTATGTATGCATTATTTCTCCATAGCTAAAAATTATATTCTGATTTTTTTTCTACAGTGAAGAATGTATTTGTTTCTATTTTCCCACACTTGTCGTATCTCATGCCTATTTTCTACAGGTCAGTGCCTCCCAGAGATGTAATTTTTTTGTTACAGTTTCTCAAGGCTGAATGTACTTAAAGCTGGAACAAGAGCGTTAAGTTTGTAGCTCAGCTGGAACTGTTTTTATGTTGAATAAAAAGCATTTACAGGTAGCCTAGCATGGTGAACAGAGCACTGGATTCAAAGTCAGGAAGAACTGGCTTAAAGTCCTTCTTCTGACACGGGGCCCATGGCAGTACAGCAGAAAGCATGCTAGATTTGGGGTTAGAGGATCTGGGTTTGAATCCTGGCTCTGATGCTTACTGCTGCCTGTGTGATCTTGGGCATCATTTAACCTCTATGGTCCTCAGCCTCTTCATCTGTTATGTAGGAGGATCAGACTAGATGACCTCACAGGTCCTTTTCAGGTTTAAATCTATGAACTTGTGAGCCTATATCTTACTACACTGGCTGTGAGATCCTGGTGAATCACTTAATCTCTCACTGCACCAGGCTGCTTGAACTTGTGAGCCTATATCTTGCCATATTGGCTGTGAGATCCTGGTGAATCACTTAACCTCTCACTGCACCAGACTGCTATAAATTTCAGAACTGTTGCTGACCTGCGCTGGTAGAGAGAACTCTCTGTGCCAATGGAATCCTAGGCTCCGTCCAAACAAAACAAAATAAAACAAAAACGTAGACCTGCTAGCATATGATTACCAAGCACATCTGAATTTTTTTTTTGGCAGATCTGACATTACTAAAGATGGCCTGGGAGGAGAACAAAGTAATGCAGAGCTATGGGTCACTGCTCTTAGTGATTTTGCTTCTGCCATGTGGATTAATGAGTAAGTGAAAGTCTTTTTCTTTTTTTAAATAAGTTTTATTGATTCCTTTTGTTTTTCATACGACACCTCCCATAGGAGCCTCCTTTGTTACAAAGAAAGATAGTTAAGCAAAACCCACTGACACAGAAACCACATGATAGCCTATACTATCTACTAATGGGAGAGAATCTGTTCTCTGGAACAATACTGGTCATTGTCTTTATTGTAAGTTAAGTTGCCTTATTAATGTTTTTCTCATTTGCATTATTCTAGCCATCCCTAACTGGGGGCTCTTAACCATTGTGATTGTATTATTAACTTCTCATCTGATATAAACTACACAAAACAACATGGGAAGGGACTGCTGTGAACCTAAGGGCCATTGGATTGCGCCAAGATTAAAAGAGGGGCTAATTGTTGTACTAGGATAAAGGCTGATTAAATCTCCAGAGATAAAAGGGGTAGCTTTGGAAAAAGCAGTGACCAGTGAAAACATCAAACCCTATACCACATTACATGTAGGAGATAAAAAAGGCCTGGGAAGGATTTGGCTCTATCCCTATCCAGAAGGGAGGAGGAGACAGAAAGCATTCACTATAAGCTAGCCAGTTCTTTTTATAAGTGTAGGATAAACTCATGGCAATAATATTGCTGAATCAGAGGGTAAGATCAAGCTTGGATCCTTGGGCAAACCACTTAACATCTCTCTGCCTCAGTTTCCTCATCTCTAAAATGTGGAGGTTGAACTAACCTCACAATGGCATCAAAGTCAAATAGAAAAGGGGTTACTAAACCATACATAAGGATCCCTGAAGGCTGTATATTGACTTAGAAAAACAAATATTAACACTATCTATGCTCTATTTTATTTTTATTTAAAATTATTTATTTAAAAATTTACTTATTTAAAATATTATTTTATTTATTTAAACATTTATTTATTTAAAAATATTTCCCAATTGTATTTTAATTTGGGTGTTTGACATCTCTGAATTAGAGAACCTTTAACATCCCTTCCAAGCCCATACCTGTCTTTACAATCATTTCTCTGTGTGTGTGTGTGTGTGTGTGTGTGTGTTTCCAGATGTTATCCTAACTGTGAATAACAATACTCAAGACTTTGTCCTGCAAACCACACCTGGCACAGCGGAGTCTCTGAAATGCACTGTTCAGAATCACAGCCAAGAAGAAGAGTTACTCTGGTACCGGGAAGATGGGACAGTGGACCTGAAAAAAGAAAACAAAATCAACTCTAGTGACATTTGCATCTATCCTGTCAGAGAGGATGACAATGGGATCACCTTCACCTGCACTTTGCAACGGAACGAATCCGTGAACATTTCAGTGATTTTGAATGTCACTTGTGAGTTGAGGGGCGAGCAACCCTAACTTTAATCACATTTATTAAGAAACATTTATTAAGCACCTACTACGTATCAGGTGCTGTGCTAGGTGCTGGTGGTACAAAGACAAAAGTGAAACAGTTCTTGCCCACCAAGAACTTACGTTCTATGAGGTAGAGAGATGACAATACAGAGGTTTGAAATAGAAACACAATATATGTATACCAAATGAATGCAAAGTAGTTTTGGGAGGGAGGGCACTAGCAGCCCAGGGAGGGTGAAATCAGGTGACAGATCAAGGTAGCACTTGATCTGAATTGTGAGGGAAGCCATTGATTCCAAGAGGTAGAGCTGAGGAGGGAGTATGTTATAGGAATGGGAGAAATCCAGGGCAAAGACATGGGTGGGAGATGGAGTGTTGTGTGTGCCCAATGCTGGATGGCAAAGTGTGTGGAGGGGAATGATATATAAGAAGATTGGGCAAGTGGGAGGGAGCCAGGTTGTGACCAGATTTTAAATGCCTAAGAGAGAGGTTTATATTAGATCTAGAGTCAAGAGGGTGCTGTTGGAGTTAACTGAGGAGCAGGGGGTCATGGTCAGCCCTGCACTTTAGGAAAGTCATTTTAGCTGAGATAGGGAGACCCAATAGGACACTATTCAAATTGTCCAGGCCAGAGGTGAGTACCACCCTTGTGTGTCAGATAAAAGTTTCAGAGCTTGACTGAGAAACAGAATTCGAGGCTACTTGTCCCACCATAGTTGGTGGGATCAAAGCCCTTGGAATTCCAAGGGCTTTGCCCCATTTTCTACCTGAGCTAATAATACTGAACTTGAAATGAAAGAAAGAAAACAATCTCACCTTCATCTCCAGGGCATAAATAAGCCAGCTGTATATTTGAAAAATGGACCATTTGCATGGCCCGGGAGCTCATGGGATGTACAAAAACAGGCGATGGGCCAAATAGGGCCCAAGGGTTATAGTTCACCAATTCCTGAATTAGACCATAATAGTGGAATTAAGTGGATTAATAATGATCATGATGATGGTGATGATGATAATGATAGCTAACATTTACGTAGAGCTTATGTACTAGGCATAGCACCAAGTGTTTTTTTTTCTTTCTAATAATATAATGTAATGTTATATCTGGAGTCAACAACAACATTATGACATTTATTTATAATATTATAAATATTAAGAACTGGTCAAATGGCCAGCCCCGAAGAGTAGTCATTAATGATTCAATGGCAGGTTGGAAGGAGGTCTCCAGTGGAGTGCCCATGGTCTCTATGCTTGGCTCTGTGCCATATAACCCTTTTATCAATGGCATGTGAAGTGGAAAGAATGTTGGATTTGGAATCAGAGGTTGTCGTTGTTTAGTTTTCAGTCATGTCTGACTCTCCATGACCCTTTTGGGGTTTTCTTAGCAGAGATACTGGAGCAGTTTGCCATTTCCCTCTCCAGCTCATTTTACAGATGAGGAAACTGACACAAACAGGGTTAAGTGACTTGCCCAGGGTCACACAGCTAGTAAGTGTCTGAGGCCAGATTGGAACATAGGAAGATGAGTCTTCCTGACTCCAGGTCTGGCACTCTGTCTACTGTGCCACCTAGCTGCCCTTGGAATTAGGGGACTTGGGCTCTATCTCAATTCTGCCACTTTTTATTTGATTGACCTGGACATTTAACCACTCCAGACTTCAGTGTCCTCTGTAAAAAAAAAGTATGAATAAATAAATAAAATTTAAAAAGCACTGGGCTAGATGCCCTCTAAGATGCCTCTATGAGCTCTTAATCTATGACCCTATGGTTTGGAAAAAGCCACAGATGGTAGGCTTACCAAATTTGCAGGTGACCCAAAGCTAGAAGGGCGAAATAATGTGTTGGATAACTGAGGCAAAATCCCCAAAGATCTAGACAGGGGAGAGTCTCAGGAGAAACCCAACAAGACGAAATTCAAGGAGGACTGATAGCAAGTCTCGGAGCAAAGAAGTGATTTGTTCAAGGTCACACAGGTAGTACATAGTAGAGCTGAGATATGTTCTTTCCCCAGTATCATCTGTTTTCCAACTGAGGTCCAGCAAAACCAATATCACAAGCACAAGATAAGGAAGGGCTGCCTAGACCCCAGCTCAGCTGAAAGAGAGCTGGCAAACTCAGTATGAGTCAAAAGGATGAAATAACAGATCCCGAAGCTGGTCTTGGACTCTATCAGTGTGGTTGGAGATCATATTAACAGAAGCATAGAGTTGATGATAGTTGACTGTGCTTGGGGCAGCTTGGTGGTACAGTGGCTAGAGCTCTGGACTTGAAACCAGGAGGACTCATCTTCCTGAGTTCAAATCTGGCCCTAGACACTTAGTTGCTGGGTGACCCTGGTCGAGTCACTTAACCCTGTTTGCCTCAGTTTCTTCATCTGTAAAATAAGTTAGAGAAAACCCCACATGGGGTCACGACCCAAAAATAACGACAGTAAACTGTGCTATGCCTAAATTAGACCACATTCACCTTTTGGTTCCTCTTGTGACTTTACTCTTTTCTTGCCCTTCACTGAAAGATCCCCCACTTCTTCTCGAGTATGAGGTATAGCCCTCCTTGCCCTCTGGCTAGCTAGAATGTTATCCTTCCAATCCTGACCTCCTGTCTGGCAGAGCCCCGTGTTTTGGATCTCCCTCTCCACTCTTCCCTCAATCAAGACTTAGTTCCAGCTAGCTAGAATGGTTTTCATGAACTAATTTATGATGTGGTGTTAGTAGGGTCACAGATCTAGAGCTGGAAGGGACCTTCATTTACAGATAAAGAAACTTAGGTTCAGAGGGCTTATGTGACTTGTAAAAGAAAGACAGAAAAAAAGAAAGAGAAGGAAAGAAAGAAAGGAAAAGGGAAGGGAAGGGAAGGGAAGGGAAGGGAAAGGAGAGACTAAGCTTACCTAGTAGGGCCTTTGAAAGAAGAAAAAAAGAAAGTAAGAAAGAAAGAAAGAGGGCATTCCACAATAAATTTTCAGAACGCAACAACATAGGGCATTTGGAAACTGTCTGCCTTTTCCCAGCAACATCCCACACACCCAAAAAATATCTATATGCCATTTCTGTTATACGCTGAGCAGAATTGAAACATGTTCAGAAGAACTCTGAAAAGCCAAGTCTTCAAAGGAGCTATTCATAGCCCAGTCTACCCTCCATTATTCCTGGGGTAATTATTCATTGTGTTAATTTTCAAACCTGCTTGCCTTCTTTTTGGCCTCTCTGTTGCCAGTTTGCACTTCTGACGATGGACAAGGCATAGAAATGAAGGGAAAATTCAAACCAGCCAGTTCTTCTGCCTTTTGAAGTCCTTGTGCATTGGAGCAGAGTTGTAGAGCAGGAAGGGACCCCTCCCCCCATATCTAGTCCAATTTCCTGATTTTGAAAGTGAGAAAACAGAACCAAGGGAGGTCAAATGACTTGTCCAAGGTCTCATAGAAATAATCAGAGGCAGAATTTGAACTCAGTTCCTCTGATTCCAAAGTCAACCTTAATGGGGCCAAAACCAGACACATTAACTAGGATAAAGCTTAAGGATAATATATATGTTTCAGTTGGCCATAAAACTGGGATGAGCTATAATGTAAAGTATGCAAGGATACTAGACTTAGAACTGTAAGAGACTTTAGAGATAATTTGGTTCAATTCCTTCATTTTACAGATTAGGCAACTGAGGCCCAAGGAGGGAAATGGATTTGAACACAATAGAATGGATTAATTCCAGTAGAATATAAGCTCCTTCAAGGCAGTTCTTGTTTCATTTTTTTTTTTGTCTTTGCATTTCCCAGGGGCTGTCTCTGAGGAAGTGAATAATGAATGTTTATGGAGCTGAATTAATTTATCAGGATAGCAAGTGGAGTCATAAATTTAGAACTGAAGGGCCCTTAACAATCATCTAATCCAAAGCTCTCCTTCCACAGATGAGGAAATTGAGAGAGATCAATGACCTATCCACATTCACACAGGTAGTAAGAGACAGTGCTGGAATTTGAACCCAGGGCTTCAGGCTCCTAAATCCAGTATTCTTTATATAGCACCAATCTAGTGATACAGACTTTAATGTAGATAATGTAAAGACTTACACTTGGGTTGAAAAAAGTTAACTTCACAAGTACAAGATGGGAGAAGTATGGCTGGACGACAGCTCATCTGAAAAAGATCTAATTTGTTTTTTAACTGTAGTCTGCCAGATTAATATGAGTCAAAAGTGGGACATGGCAGTCAATGAAGTTGATAAAATCTCAGGCTGCGTCAAGAGAGGACTAATATCTAGAACAGGGACTGGATGGCCACTCTAGACGCTATGGTGTTATTGTAGCCCCTCCTGCAAGCTTCCAGGGACAAATGAAGTAGTTCCCTGCGGAAGGGGAGAATTTGGGTTCATCTCCTTCATCCCTGGAAGTTTACGATCGAGGCTACTTTATGGCCCTATGTTCTTATGACCCTCTGGCTTCAAAGCCAGCACTCTTTCCACTTTGCTAGAAGGCAAATTTAAGTTTGTATCTACGGATAAACATTCAAATAATTAGAGATACTGGGAAATTAAATGGGCTGCTTTGGAGGGTAGTGGGCTTTCCCTTGATAGCATCTTCAACCAAAGGCTAAAGGGCCTCTTGTTGTGTATGTTGAATGTAGAAGGAATTCTCATTCATGTAAGGGTTGTTCTGAATGGACTCTGAGGTCTCTTCCAACTCTTTGTGGACAAGATGCTTAGATCCTTAGGATAGAGCTGCCTTTGCAGCATCAACAACGTGCTGTCACAATACAGAGAGTTTTAAGCAAGATCTTGCTGATCCACTAATTAAACCGAATTGATTGTTCTGTGCAGATGAACCTATTCTGAGCGGGAGAGACCTCCAAACAGCCAAGGAAGGAAGCAATATAAAATTAAAATGTAACGTGAAGGCCAACCCCCAGGCTCAAATGACGTGGTACAAAAATGACAGTGTCCTTACTCTGGAGAAAGACCATCACCAAATATATCAGACGAGTGAGCTGTTCCAGCTGTCCATCTCCAAAGTCCTGAAATCTGACAACGGGACATACAGTTGCCACGCAAATTCGCCTCTGAAATTGGAGACTAAGGATTTCCATCTGATCATTGAAGGTAGTTAATGCACCAGAGAAAGAGACAGGAGACTTCCTAAGAGCCAGGTAGAACGGTTTCCTGTCTGTGATAGGCACTTGAATGTTAGTTAGTGATGACGATGAAGATTTCCCAGCCCTACCCCTGGCCCCCACCTGGAATTAAACTCTGAAGTGCAGGGAAAAAACACTGAAACCAGAGGCTAAGGAACTGGGTTCAAATCTTGGCTCTGCCACTTAGCAGCTGATATAATGGAAAGAGTACTAACCATGAAGTCAGAGGACTTGGGTTTAAATTCTGCCTCTGTCATTCATACCTGTTACAGCAGAAAAAGCACTGACTTTGGAGGGACTGGGTTCAAATCCTGCCTCTGACACTTATATGACCTTGGGGAAATCATTTTACTTCCCTGGGCCTCTCTCTTCCCATCTGCCAAAGGAGGGGGTTGGATGCAGGGGTGGGGAACCTGCAGCCTTGAGGCCACATGTGGCCTTCTAGGTCCTCAAATGTGGCCCTTTGACTAAATCCAAACTTCACAGAACAGATTCTCTTAATAAAAAGGATTTGTTCTGTGAAACTTGGACTTAGTCAAAAGGTCACACCTGAGGACCTAGAAGCCCACATGTAGCCTCGAGGCTGCAGGTTTCCCCACCCCTGGATTAGAAGGAACCTGAGGTTCCTCTTGCCTCTAAATCACATGAACTTGCATGACTTTGAGCAACTCACTTGGGCCTCAGTTTCCCCACCTACATAATGAATTGGTCGAACTAGTTAGTGCCAAGATCCCTTCCAGATTTAACTGTTCGATCCCATGAGCTAAAACATAGACCCAGCTAAGGGTGTCTGGCACTAAAGATCATAGTTATTTTTCTTAAGTAAATGCAGTCTTTGTTTCCAGCTCTGTTTTGACCAAAGGTGAATCTCCTCCACGTCAAATCAGTGCAGGGGAATAAACATGCGCCTGAAATGAAACGCTAAGGAGAATGTTCCTTGAATTACTTTGGACAATGAAGGAAGCCACTGGAATTTTCAGGTCCAAGGTCATTGAAACATGAGAAAAGAGAGAAACAGGAAGTAAAAGGAGGGAATTGTGATGCAGGAAAAAGAACACTAGATTTGTAGTAAAAGAACCTTGACTCCATCATTACTCCCTGGGTGACCTTGGGTAAGATGTTTCACTTCTCTGAGATTCAGTTTCATCTTCTATAAAAAGAAAGCATTAATCTGGCTGACCTCTGAAGTCTTCTCCAGCCTGGAATCTATGACCCCAGGAAAAGGCAAATAAAAAAAAATATGAAGGAATTAGAGCAGCTGACCTCTCCGTCCCTTCCAGATCTGCCCTTGGGTTACTCTGATTCTGAACCAAAGGTATCCAGAGTATATTGGGGTGGAAGAGACAGCTGTGAAAAGTTAAACTGCTCCCCAATAAGTTTGGCTTGCCCAGGTTTATGGGCTATGCAAAGAGTCCACCTGAAGTACTGTATGTTTTTTTCCTTCTCATATTTCTTGTGTGAACAAAGGGAAAGGTGAGATACCTATTGTAGCAAAAAACTAAAAATGATGACGCACGTTTTTCTTAGCCTGGGACTAGTGAATTACATGCAGCCAAGCAGGCCAGACCTCTCCCTCCTTCATCCCAAAAGCACATACATCATTAACTCCGTGCTTTGTGAGTACATGGATATCATTCCCCGGCCCTCTCACTTCAGGCACTTTTGTTAATTTCCCTCCCCTCCGAAGCCAGAAGCATCCAACGAAAGTGGATGGCTCAGCCACAGGGCTTGGATCATTTGTCTCTCTTGGTGGCCACGTGCTTCTCACCAAGTGGGAGGTGGGGAGCAGAGACTACTTGATCGCCTACCTCGGTGGTGACCCAGCTCCTGAGCTGTTTCACTGGGAAAGGGAGTGGTTGCCCCTTGAGGGTATATGCCTTCCAGATCCAAGCCACAAAGAAACGAGAGGCCTGTGGGGTGGAGGTGGAGGAGAGAATGAATGCCACAATAAGATTTCCAGCTACCATCTTCACCCAGAGTTTGTAGGTTTGCAAAGGCCTCAGGATGTATTATCCTAGCAAATAGTAAACCGAACCCACATTCAGAGATGGGGAAATTAGACATCAAAAACAATGGCGGAGGCGTTGCTTCATGTTGTGCAAGAAACACGGGGCTGGTGTGTCGGGCAGGTTGCCAGGTTGGCTTTCAGGTGTGTAGGATCCTGTTTTGGGTGGAGATATTCCAAACCTGCTTGTTTTTCTTATTTCTGTGCAGCCCAGTAACCGACCTTCCCCTCTCTTCACCCTCCTTATAAGCTGTCATTGTTAGAACCTCTGTTCTAGTGTTAGGCTACAATGCCAAGTCTTCAATTGCTCTCCACCCACAGTAGCACCCAGATTTAGGTGCTTAATAAAAAAAGCTAGACTAACTAAAGGGGCCACTAGGCATCTTTTCTTGAGCATAGACTCCTGCCCAAATATTTGGAAATGATTTTCTAAGAACCAGGGTGAAAGTGAAAAAAAAAATCCCATGAAACACCAGTTCTCTGTGGGCTGGCATTAATGTAAGTTTAAAATCAGGTACCATGAAGCAACGTGATCTCATTCATGGAAAGAAGGCTTTATAAGCCTGGTTCAGCTGAGATTCTCGGCAGGCACTTGAGATCCAAATTTCCAGCAGCTAGAATAACTGGGATTGGAGGGGGTGGCTAGAAATCACAGATGATTTTCAGTTTTCTGGGCTGGCCACTTTTCCAGAAGCACCCATTTTTCTTTCTTCATACTCCTGACTGAGTTGTCCCTCCCAGGATGGACTGCATAGGCTATCATCTGCCCACCAGCAAAGTAAGGGAATTTTGCCTCCTCCCAAACCGGACAATTCAAGAATCAGGGTCACCAGGGGAGGCAGCAACACAGTTGTTCCAGTGGGTCCCCCCAGTCTGCCTTGTCATGAGATATCATTTCAGGAAAGAGGCAGCCAAAGAATTTTGATTTATTTACTCCTGAAAATTATCCATAGTGGGGGGAGGGGAGCTGGAAGGAACCTCTGAGGCCATCTGGTCATGGGGTCATAGATCTAGGGGAGACCTCAGAGGTCACTGGACGAGAATGTAAACTCATTGAAGTTAAAGACTGTTAGCTTTTCATTGATGTATCCTTATAGCCTAGCACTGTGCCTGAAACACCATAGGTGCTTAAATGATTAATTAGCTTAATAATAATTAATTAGCTTAATTGCTGATTGATTTGCTCTAACCCCATCTAAGGCCCAAAGAGGACTTGTTGTCTAAGGTCACACAGGTAAGTCACTCTCAGAGGCAGGATTTGAACTCCAGAGCCAGTGTTCTTTCTGCCATACCACATGACCTCCTAATGGAAAATGGTTGGGAAAGAGGATGAATAACCAATAGCAGCATGTTCTCCAGTTTTTAGCTGTGGATCTTACATCGCGGTAGTTCAAGGGCCTACAATTTTTGTTAGCACCGATGCTGACCTCACCCTGTCTACAATTTATAATCTCAATGCCTCAGACTCTAGCTTAGTTCCCCATCATTTGACCGAAACTTCTTCTTCCTAAAGGCAAGAACTGTCTTACTTCTGTTCTTGTATCCCTAATACCCAGCAGAATGCATGGCACATAGCAATGTTTAATAAATGCTTGTTGCTTATGTAGCTGCTTAAGGCTCAGAGAAGTTAAATGATTTTTCCAGAGTCACCAAGCTAACAACTGTCAGAGATGGGATCTGAACCCAGGTCTTTCTGACTCCCCATATATCCACTATGTTATGTTCCTATCTGTTTGCCTATGTCTATCTGTCTGTCTACCATCCATCTATCCATCTATCTCTTTGTCTCTATCCATCTATCCATTTATCTATCTATCCACATCATCTATATATCCATCCATATATTCATCCATCCATCCATCTATCCAGCTATCTATCATCTATCTCTCTACCTCTCTATCTATTCATCTCTCTATCCATCTCTCTCTCTATTTCTCTCTCTTTATCCATCTACCTCTCCATCCATCCATCCATCCATCTCTCCATCCATCTCTGTACCTCTCTATCTATCCATCTTTTTAGCCATCCATCTATCTCTCTGTCTATCCATCCAACCATTCATCCATCCATCCATCCATCCAACTAGCTACATACCTATTCATTTGGCTAGTTATCTATGGGCAGTGGTGGTATAGTAGATAGTGAATAGAGAGCTGGCCTCAAAGTCCGGAAGACCCAAGTTCAGTTCCTGTCTCTGATGCATCCTGGGCAAAATACATAAACTCTTAGGAGTTTTCTTATTGGGGGGATCTTTACACTGATGAAATTGCAAGTCTCAACAAAATATATGTAGACACATGCACACATATAAATTTTTTTTTAACATATAAATATTTTTAACCTCTGATTTCATCACAGTAGGAAGCTCCTGGTAAGAAACATCTTCCCCTTATGAAGATGGGTATTTTTGCCACAACTTACAACTTTGAAAGCTGCCCAGGACAGTAGGAGGCTGGGTAATTAACTCAGAGTCATAGATCTAGTAAGTATCAGAGTCAGGCTCTGACCACTAGAATCCAGGGCAGCCTGACTCCAAGGCCTGCTCTCTATATGCTAAGCTACTATATGTTTCTCGCAGACATAAATAGAACATTCCTCTGCACTAATGTCTTCTCCCAGTGCATCCAAGAGGCTGTGATTCAATGGGAAGAACTCTGGATTTAGAGGGAGAATATCTGGGTTCAAGTCCCAGCACTAAAACTTACTACCTGAGTGACCACAGCAAGCTGCCCCATCTCCCTGAGCCTCGGTATCTCTACCTGTAAAGCACAGTAGTTGGGTTGGATGGCCTTTAAGGTCCCTTCTAAACTGAGTCAGTAAGTCAATCAATAAACACTTATTAAGCACCTACGTACTATACTATGTACCAGGTGCTGAGTCAAGCATTAGGGATATAAAAAGAGGCAAAAGATGGTCCTTGCCCTCAAAGTGCTCACAGTTCAACAGAAGAACGGATCTAGGATCCTATGGTCAGGTCAGGGACCTTTAGTTCTGTTAGAAGGCTACAGAGAAGAGCATAAACTCTGTCAGATCTTGCCAGGCTGGAGAGGGTTGGGGCAACTGACCTGGAAATGGATAGTGGGTCTGTCCTTGGAAAAGCAGCCTAAATCTGGAAAGACATCACGAGGCTGGACCCAGGATGCTAATTCTTTCTGATGCAAAAATTCCTCAAGTCAGTCTACTGAGGCATAGAGGGGCCCAACGAGTGCTGGTGGTAGGAATGGCCGCCCCAATGACCTCGCAGGTCCTTCAAGTAATAAAGCATTGATGTGCATATGTATGTGTGTGCATGACTATAGGAATATAGATATTCTACGATCTCACTTTTCATTCTTTCTTGTGATCTATATGTGAATTTTTAACAGAGAAAAAAAACATTGTTCCCACCGAAGCTATTATTGCCGCAGTTGTGGTGGTCACCTGTACCATATTGTTTGGACTGATTGCAAGAAGAGAAAAGATAATGAAGGTACCTGGGAATTCTAGGAATGGGGAGGAGGGGGGTGTCAAAATCACCCAAAAGCCAAAGAGTGAATGGTACAGAGCTAGGAGTTTTCTGTTCTGTTTCTTTTCCAAAGGCAGGGGTGCAGTAAAACAAACAAATAAACAAGCAAATAAACACTGAACTTGCAGTTATGGGACCTGAGTTCAAAACCCAACTCTTCCACTGTGGGATTGTAGGGGAATCACTTCATATGTCTAGGCCTCAGTTTCCTCATCTGTAAAATGAGAGGCTTGGATCAGATGACCTTCCGGCTCTAGCTCTGTGAGACTATGAACTTCATCTCCCTAGACCGCTAACATTAAGGTCACCCCTCCCTCAGACAGGCAAAATAATTTCTGTTGTGTTTGCTTTTAGCTCTGCATTAAAGATAAGAAAGCTCAAAGTGATACATCTCTGTAAGTATTTGGGGATTAATGATTTTCCTAAGCAGATCTACTTAGGGTGGCTGGTAACCAAGCTGTAACTAAGGTGGGACAATGGGGCTTGTCTCAAGGTCCCAGGGGAAGGAATCATCCCTCTCTGTGGCAGCTTGCTTTACCTGCATATGTAACTCTCTCCTGTTCCTTGCCCTTGCTGCTTCCCCAGGGTCCTGTGGTGGTGTTATTCATGTCCCAGGGTCCACCGTCCCTACTGTTTTGCCCCTCTGCCTCCTACCACTTAGTGGTTAGGAAAGGTTAGAGAACTTTAGTTGAGTGATTCTTGGGTGGGGTAGGTAATCCAGCCTCTCTTCTGAATGACTTCACTTGGACAGACTGTCCTTATCACTTCCCCACAGTTATAACTCTGCTGATAACCCAAGTAGATGGTTTTCCTTGGGAAATCCTTCTGTTTAAGGGGTTAAGAGGAGGGAGGAAGGGAACCTGAGAGTATGCCTACCTTTAGTAGGAATAGAAGTGAGGTAAGACTGCCTAGGTTGGAAGGCTGCCCAGACCTAAGTGCCACCTTCAGCCTCAGGCCTTCACCTCCTCTTGAGCAATTTCTGGCTGATGAAACTGCCTTTTTATTGCCATGTGGTGTCAGTGACTGAGAGGGCCTGCCCCAAAGGAAGACACCCAGGTCAAACTCCTTCCTGCTAGGACTAGGAGCAAGGTTGAGGCTGCAGATTGCATTCTCAGGGCTAGATTCCTTTCATCTTTGGGACCTATGTCAGTATTATTGGCTCCCATCAAAGCTGAGAAGCCAGTGGGCAGAGCAGATGAAGATGGTACCCTTGGGAGACCTGGAATTCTCCCCTATATTCCATGTGCCACATTTCCCCATTGATGGAGCTCTTGGCGTTCATCTGTTCTTCTTTTTGATTTTAGGTGAGGAATCAAGCAGCCTTTCTAATACGAGAAGAGGGCAGTACCGGGGCCTTTCTGGGCACAGAGTCTCTTGTGTATTCCTTGCTTTTATTAAAATGTGTTCCCTTTGGATGGTGGGTGATGATGAAGAGGTTTGGGGTTAATCATTTAATGCCAATCTATTTCTTTTGGCTAATTCAAGGAACTAAGAGGAGAGGGATAGAATGGAAACAGAGGAAATCTTAGAATCTGGACAAAGCTTCTGCTTGGGGCTTAAGTTAGGAATGATCCTTCTCCTTGCACAACATCCCATTTCCCACCTCCACACCTTTGCATAAGTATCTGGCATTCATTTCTCCTTCATCCCCCTTTCCTAGAATCTCTGACTCCTTTAAAAACATAGCTCAGATAACATCTATTAGTAGGGCCCTTTCCTAATCTCCCCAGTTATTAGCACCCAATTACTTTGTACAGATTGTGTCCCTCCCTGTCTGCTACTCCTATAAACTCCTTGAAGGCAGGGAATGTTTTGTGGTTTTGTTTTGTTTTTCTAATCTTCATATTCTCAGTTCCTAGCGCAGCATAGGCTGGGAATGTCATAAACATTAGTTCAACTGAATTGAATTTCCATTTAGCTTGTATCTCGTACCATCTCAGTCTTGGGATTGTGTGACCTTTATTCACTTATGGGCACACAAAACTAGCATGAGATGGGGCCAAAGAAAATGTCTGTTTACAAGCACCCCCTGCTCTCTTTTTTACACGACAATTTGTAGAGCTATGCGTTAGTTATGAATCAATATATGCTCATTAGACACATTTAGATTAAAACACCTGGCTTTTCTTAAAGTCGATGTATCTGTGTTTTTTCCCCCTTGATTCTTTGCCAATGTGCATACACATACACATCCCACTTTCTTTTCTTCTCTCGATTTGTAGCTGTACAAATTTCTCTGATAACGGCCTCAGTTCTCAGATATATAGAGAACTGATTCAAATATGTAAAAAGAAGAGTCATTCCCCAATTGATAAATGATCAGAAGATATGAAGCCAGTTTTCAGATGAAGTAATCAAAGCTATCTATAGCCATATGAAAAAAATGCTCTAAATCGCTATTAATTGGAGAAATGCAAGTTAAAACAATCCTGAAGTTCTATCTCACACTATTAGATTGGCTAATAGGACAGAAAAGAAAAGTGACAGATGTTGGAGGAAATATGGGAAAATTGAGACACTAATGCACTGTTGGTGGAGTTGGGAACTGACTCAACAATTTTGTAGAGCAATTTGGAACCATGCCCAAAGGGCTATAAAACCATGCCATGCCCTTTGACCCAGCAATACCACATTGTTCAAATGCCAAACATACACTTGCCAAAAAGACTATTTTATGGAGAACTAGCACAGGGGCAAGAGCTCACATGGTGGTCAGAAAAAGTGATAAGAGGACACTCTTAAGGTCTCTCTTAAGAACTTTGGAGTTGATTGTGTGACATGGGAGATACTGGTACAGGACTGCCTGGCATGGCATGCCCTCATCACAGAAGGCACTGCACTCTATGAGCAAAGCAGAAATGAAGTATTTCAAAAGAAGTACGAGATGTGCACATTTAGGGAATCCACCCCAAAGGTTCATGTGGATTATTTGTGCCCGACCTGTAATAGAGCATTCCAAACTTGTCTTGGTCTGATCAGCCACAGTTGGACACCCTGTAAGTTGACTCTAACATAGTGATGTCATTTGGGTCCTCTTTAAGACCAAAATTCAACAACCAACCAACTACTACTAGGTCTGTATCCCAAAGGAGAAAAAAAAAAGGAAAAGGCCCTACATGTACAAAAATGCTTGTAGCAGTGCTTTAATGGTGGCAAAAAACTGGACATTGAGGGGATGCCCATCAATTAGGGAAGGGCTGAACAAGTTGTGGTATATGATTGTGATGGAATACTATTGTGCTGTAAGAAATGATGAGCAGGATGCTCTCAGAAAAACCTGGAAAGACTTACAGAAGCTGATGCAAAGTGAAATGCACAGAACCAGGAGAACATTATACACAGTAACAGCAACATTGTAAAATGATTAACTGTGAATGACTTAGCTCTTCTCAGCAATAAAATGATCCAAGTCAACTTTGAAGGACTTATGATGAAAGATGCTATCCAGCCCCAGAAAAAGAACTGATGGAGTCTGAACACAGATTGAAGCATGCTTTTTTTTGCTTCCTTTATTTTTCTTGGGAGTTGTTTTTTTTTTGTCTTTGTTTCTTTTACAACATGACTAATGGAAATACGTTTTGCATAATTACACATGTATAACCTATATCAAATTTCTTGCCTTCTCAATGAGGGGGTGGAGGCAGAGAGGGAGGGAGGGAGAGAATTTGGAACTCAAAATTTTAAAGGCGAATGTTAAAAATTGTTTTCAAATGATGAGCAGTGCATTTCAGAAAAACCTGGAAAGACTCGCATGAACTGATGTTGAGTGAAATGAGCAAAACCAAGAGAACATCGTACACAGTAACAGCAACATTGTGCGATGACCAAATTTGTTAGATTTAGCTTTTCTCAGCAATCTAAGACAATTCCAAAAGACTCATGATGGAAGAACTATGGAGTCTGAATACAGAATACTGATACAGCATACTATTTTCTATTTTTTTTTTTGTTTTTGTTTTTTTCTTTCTCATGCTCTCCCCCTTTGTTCTGCTCCTTCTTTCACAACATAACTAATATGGAAATATATTTAATATGATTGTACATGTATAGCCTATACATTGCATGCTGTCTTGGGGAGGGGAAATGGGAATTTTAGAACTCAAAATCTCATAAAAGTGAATGTTGAAAATTAAAAATAAATAAATAAATTGTTTTCACATGTAATTGGGGGAAAATAAAATAATAAATAATTAAAATGTTTTTAATTGAATACTAAAACTTAAATATACAATAAAAAAGAAAAAGAAACACTATAAACTTAAATATTGAAACTTAAATACAAAATAAGAAAAGAAAAAAAAACATTGTCAGGTACACAGCAGAATGTAAGAGAGGATTCAAATTATACAGCAATAAATTTCCATTTCAAGAAAGCCTATATAATAAATACTACATACCATATTGAGAGCTGCCCATCTTTTCTTTGCTTCCTTGTATGTTTTCTTTTGTTCTCTGCTGTGCACTTCTTACTTTGTTCTTTTTTTTCCCCTTCCTTCCTCCCCCCAACCCCAAGGCTACAATTAAGCTCAGATACACACACACACACACACACACACACACACACACATGCACATATACATATATATATTTTCATATGTATGCATATGTATACAAATACACAAATATCTACATACATATATTTATATACATGCATACATATATACACACACATACTCAGATATCTATAATCATACTCATATATAGACAAATATATTCATATGCATCTATGTAAGACCATACTATACTTACTTGTCCTCTGTTTCTCTGAGGGTGGCTAGTCTTCCTTTATAAGTCCAAGTCTTTCCATGTTTTTCCAAGTCCACTAACTAGTCATTTCCTACACTACAGCAATATTCCAACCTTATACTGCCTAGTTATCTTAAATAGTCTAAAACAACATTGATGAATATGGCTGACACATAGTATAGTTTCCCTTTTGATTAAATCTATTTTAGCCTTAACTTTGTCTGAGATCATCATTACCACCCCTGCTCCTTTTTCCCTAACAAATTCTACTCCTGATCTTCATTTTATATTTGTGCATGTCTCTTATTTCCTATCCTTACTCCTCTACTTTACTTCTACCTACTATCTTGCCTTCCTGTTACTTACCCTAGCCCCCCACACCCCCCAAGGATCCCTCCCTTACCCTCTCATTCCCATTCATCTAAATACCCTTCTATACTCTCTTTATCCCTATTTCCTCACCCTCCCCTCTAAAGATCCCTCCCTTATCCTCTCCCCCCTTTCCTATCTTCTTAGCCTTTTATTTCCTACTGAATTTAGAAGACTTTTATACTCATATACATACATACATATATATATATATATATATATATATACATACATACATATATATATTATTCTCTCATGAACCCATTCCCAGTGAAAGTAGGTTTCCAGAACTACCGACTCTCCTCCCCATCTAATTCTTCTGTGTCAGTTCTTCCTCTTGCACCTTATTTGTATAAGATAATTACTCTCCTTAGTTGTTCCTAAACAGTTTTACTTTTTAAAATTACACCATACTCAGGCCTGTCCCAATCTTTCTTATGAACTACCCAATAACTAATAGCAATCTTAGACATACATTTTATATCTCCTCATATAAAAAGTAAAGTCTGTCCTTATTGAGTCCCTTATAATTAGTCTTTGATATATACCTTGTACTTCTCTTGGATCTTATACGTCAAATCTTCTATTAAGTTCAGGGTTTTTCTTTTTAAACAAAATCTTGAAAGTCTGACAATTCATTAAATGTCCATTTTTTTCTTTCATGATTATGCTTAGCTTTGTTGAGTATGGTATTTTCAGCCTAAGCCCCAGTTCTTTTGCTTTTCAATATACAGTGTTCCAAGACCTGTGATCTTTTAATGTCACTGCTACTAGGTCTTATGTGATTCTAATTGTGGCACTGCCATCTTTAAATTCTTTTTCTTGTTGCTCATAATATTTTATCCTTGAACTGGGGGTTTTGGAATTTAACTATAATATTCCTGAGGGTTTTCCTCATAGGATCTCATTCAGGTGGTGATCGGTGGACTTTTTCTATTTCTACTTTCCCCTCTTGTTCTAATGCTTCAGGACAGTTTTCTTTAATTATTTCTTGTATTATTGTATTGAAATTCTTTTTTTTTTGATCATAGCTTTCAGATAGTCTGATGATTCTTGTTTCTTCTTCTTGATCTGTTCTCCAGATCAGTTGCTTTTCTTATATTTCATATTCTTTTCTACTTTTTTCACTCTTTATATTTTGTTTTATCATTTCTTGGTCCCTTATGACTTTGCTGGCTTCCCCTTGCCCAATTCATTTTCTTCCTTAGCAGTAATTTTCTTCCTTAAGATTCTGGATCTCTAAGGGCAGCTAGGTGGTGCAGTGGATAGAGCTATGGCCTTGAAGTCAGGAGGACCTGAGTTCAAATCCAGTCTCAGACACTTGACACTTACTAGCTGTGTGACCCTGGGCAAGTCACTTAACCCTGATTGCCTCACTAAAAAGCAAAAAAAAAAATTTAAAAAAAGATTCTGGATCTCCTTTTCTAATTGGTTGACTTTCTTTTCATAATTTTCTTGTTTTTCTTGGATTGTTCTTTTTTTATTATTATTATTTTAGTTTTTCCTTAATCTCTCTCATTTGATTTGAAAAAATATTTTTAAAGTTCTTCTATGGATTCTTTTTGGGCAGGTGACCACTTGACATTACTCTTTGGAGTAAGAGAGGGTTTCTTTGCTTTAGTATCCTCCTCTGAAGTTGAACCCCGGTCTTCTCTATTCCCATAGTAACTTTGTATGGTTGAATTCTTTCTCCTTTACCTGCTCGTTTAAAAAATAAATTTGTAGCAGCTTATTTTTTGTAATCACCTCTCATTCTGGGGGATGGGGAATGGTGCCTCTGGCTTCAGATCCTCCTTCCATTCTCCCCTCTGGGCTGGAACTGAAACCAAGATCTCCAGCCTCCTGGAAGTGTCCACAGCCAGCTGGGTCCCAGTCCTACTGCTTCTCCACTCACTTGCAGTGTGCTGTTTCCTTCTTATCCAGGGCCGTGTCTCCACAGCATAGCTAGGTCTGGCTTTGTCAACAGAGGTTCCCTCAATCTAGCCCAACTCCCCTCACTGTCCAGGAGGTAAAAGTT